TATTTTTATTTGTGTATGTATATGTGTGTGCCAGTGTGAGTGTGTATGTATATGTGTGTGGTGTTTGTATGTATGTGTGTATATTATATATCTATATATGTGTGTGCATGTGTATGTGTGTGTATGTATGCATGTGTATTGTATGGTGTTTGTGTGTGTGTATGCATATATATTATGTGTGTATTATGTGTGTGTATGTATGTGAATATATGTGTGAGTGTGTGTGGCCAGAGGGCAGTGGGGAGTATATGTCTTCTAGTGCCTATGGAGTCCAGAGAAGGATTACAGGTTGTGAGTAAGGGATATGGATGCCAGAAGCTAAACTCAGGTCCTTTGCAAGAGCAATGAATGCTTTTAATTTGCTGAGCCATCTCTCCAACTCTATGTAGTGGTTTGAATGAAATCACCTCCAATAGGCTAATATATTTAATACTTGGTGGCCACTTGGTAGAACTGTTTGGGAAGAATTAGGGTATGTATGATTTTGTTGGAGGAGGTGTGTCACTGGGGGGGGGGTGGCTTTGAGTGTTTAAAAGCCCAAGCCATTTCCAGTGAGCTCTTTTTTCAGCCTTGTGGTAGTGTCTCAACATGCAAGCTCTCAGCTACTGCTCCAGTGCCATGCCTGTCTGCCAGGTGCCATGATCCCCACTGTGATGGTCATTGGCTCATCTTCTGAAACTAAGACAAATTCTTTCTTCTGTAAATTGTTTTGTTCTGTTCACAGCACCAGAAAGGTAAATAAGAAACTCCATGTGCCAGATTTAAATAAATAAATGAATAAATGCAGCAAGACATGAACAAAAATAGAGCAAAAGAAACCACAAACTAAACCATCTTAGGAAAGTAATTTTACCACTGAGTCTGAATCTATAACTCAATAGAACATTAAAATACAAAAATATCAGGTTAGCAGCCAAGGCTTTGTTCAATTTAAAATGCCATCTCCTTCATCAATTGGATCAGCTTCTCCAAATTACAAAGTTTAATGATATGAAGTTATTCTTACTGGGACTCAGACATGATGAAGCATAGCCATTGGTTAACTACAGCCAGGGAATTGTATGTTTCACTGTCAGCACAAGATAACATTGCTGAAATGCCAAAAATGTGGCATAGTTAAGTGGGCTGATACAACTGGATGATGTGAGGTTGCTTTTCACTGGTCTTAGTCCATGCTGGTATAGTTAGTATGTTGTAAAAGGCTGGTATACAGCTGAAGTTTACACAGCCTAAAATGTTGTAGTAATTAAAAAAATTTAACCTAATATCCAAACACTACTTACTTACATAGGAATTGTTTCAGGCTGATATTAGAGCTTTTTCTTTGCTAGTTTAAATTAGGTTAAATTACATTATGACTTTGAATTACATTTATTGAGTAATATGGTATAGTCAGTAGTTTAACATTTGACTGCATATTCATTTAGTTACTCAAACCATTTATTGAGTTTGATCACTACACCACACCCTAGGATATAATGATGCACTTAGTAACGGGGAATACCAATAGAAGAGGGAGAAGGAGGAGACAGACAGACAGACAGATAAACAGATAGACAGACAGACACAGAGAGAACACAAACAGAGAACACACACACACACAGAGAGAATATGACAGATTTTAAAATCTAAACTCTAATCGAGTGCCTAACAGTACAATCAATGGTTACTAACTCAAATGCCCACCATTGTTTTATTATTATCATCATCATCATCATCATTATTATTATTGTATACAAATGCTGTGGTAGAACTTCAAATGCCATTTTATTTAGTTCTAGTGACAATCCTACAATATTATCTAATTATAATGTTTTTGTTTACTTAAGAACCAAAGAGAAGTCTGTTTTTTTTCAAGTTCAATGCCCCATGCCACTGGAAAAAAGTGTTCTAGTACTTACGCCAGTCAAACCCACTAGGTTATGATTTCCCCTGAGAATCTACAAATCCAAGCTTGCTGGGCATGTGCATCACAGTTGCTTGACTTCACATGGCTCGTTTCTTAAATGGTGACAGTTTTCTTGTTTTTGTGTGCGAAGTCTGAGAATCTCTTCCTAACTTGTTTTGCTATATACGCAGGTGTGTGTCCTTTCCTTCCGGTCCAGCGACATTTATTGTGTCCTTTCAATGCCTTTTATAGGGAGATTTCCTTACCATTTCAGAGGCTGAGTGGAGTGTTAGCTAAGAGCACAGACACTGGAAGCAGCTACCTGATGAGCCAATCCTCTGCTGTACGGCCTTCAGCAGGTTATTAAAACTCTGTGCTAGCTGAAGGCGACATACTGAAATATACTACTCTAATGTATTGATTATTGTTAATAGAACCTGAAAAATAATAGATAGTATAGAGATTAGTATGGAGGTATCAGGAAAATTAAAAATGGAGCTGTCATATGATCCAGCTATACCACACTTGGGCATTTACCCAGAGTGATCTAAATCAGCATACCACAGACACATTTGCATATCCATGATTATTGCTGCATAATAATCAGGAAATAATAAAACCTGTCTAGCTCTCTACAGATTAATTTATGATGGAGGTGTGATACATACACACAAAGGAATATTATACAACCATGAATAAAAATGAAATTATGACATTTTCAGAAAAAAGGATGGTACAGAAATCATTAAGTGAAGGTTGGCAAAATGAGAAAGACAAATACCACATGCTTTCTTTCACAAGAGGAACCCAAATTTAAATTTTATGTGCATGACATAATAATTATTCATGTGCATGTAGATCATAAAATTAGAAAGGGGATCATGAAAAGAGAGATCCTAAGGAAGGAGTAGAGAAGGTAATGGAATGGTTGAAAGCAGAAGGTGGGGACTATCTAGGAGAAAAGGAACTGGCTGGGAGAAACAGATGCAAGAAAAACATTCTGAGCTTAAATATTTTCAGATCTAAAATGATTTTTCTTGACAATGTCATTATAGTAAACTGAGTCACATTGTAATTAAAACCATAATGCTAATATGTGTCAACAAAGGATTGCTTTTAGAGATCTGTAGTGCCATGACCTCTGTGATTTGGTAGTCCTGTTGAAGATACAAAGGTTAGCTGAATCAAAGATCACAGCATTAGAAAAAGAAATAAAAATGATCATATGTAGCATGAGATGAGATTCCAATGTAAAAGAGGTCCTTTGTCTACCAGAAGGTCTCATCTCGTTGTCACTCCAGGAAAATGGGACCTGGAAGCGCATCTGTACAGGACAGTCCTAATAACCTGACCCTTCTCTACCAGTTACTAGCTTCTCCATCCAGTTAGCTCACCTGGACCAAATAAGTCCCTTTGTGTTTTCATGTCTTCACAGTTTGCAACTCTGTCCCAGTCGGGACCCAGGGGCTCAATTATATGTTGCTGAATCTTCATTTCCTTATGAAGCTCCTATGTCCCACAAAACATGCTTTTAAAAATGTATGTGCGTTCCTCTTATTGATCTTCATGTTAATTTAATTTTTAGTATTAAAGGCATGTGACATCATGCCTGGCTCTTTGGTAATTGATGTTATGACAGGGTAGAAACTGTGGGAAAGCCTGACAGAGTAGTGCTCTCCTATTGTCTTTATTCTTGTCCTCTCTTGTGTCTGCTGATATGTCTGAAGTTCCACTATAAAGATCTGCTTTTTTCCTGCATTTCTTTTTAGGTGTTGCTTCTTTACTCTCTTTGGGCCATCAGTAGGCTCCATTCTTTCTCCCATGAACCCCATAAAAAATTCAGTCCATTTACTTCATCTTTATTATTTGTTTCTCTGCTACTATTTCCTGGAGTCTTAGGAGGCAGAAAATGTAGTTGTCTGTACTCTATATCAGGAGTCAGAAGTAGAACTTTTCTTTCTGAAGGAGATGCCATGTTCAGACGACTTAGCCCTTTTCATGAACCCCTACTCTGGACTTGGAATCAGGCTATATTTGATCTTTTTTTATTTTCTAATTCTGTGATCTTTGATTCAGCTAACCTTTGTATCTTCAACAGGACTACCAAATCACAGAGGTCAGGGCACTACAGATCTCTAAAAGCAATCCTTTGTTGACTCATATTAGCATTATAGTTTTAATACAATGTGACTCAGTTTACTATAATGACACTGTCAGGTAAAATCATTCTAGGTCTAAAAGTATTTAATAATCTGTAATAGTATTTTCTAAGTTATTATTTGAAGCACTAATCATGAGATGATCTAAAAATCAGAGAGAGATGATAAAAAATACAAAAATATATGCTTTGGAAATCATTATGCTTATTCTTAGACTGAGGATATTGTACAGGTTAAATTTTTATTTAACTTTAAAATTTATGCTTCATAAAATTAATTGACCATTTCTTCTTTATTTAAGCAATACCTATAAAGATCATTAACAATTAGCGTCTTGTTTTCTTTTTCTGTTGCTGTGACAAAATGCTCGGATATAAAGCAACTTAAGAGAAAGGGATTCATTTTGGTTTACAGTCCTATAGGAATAGAGTTCATCATGGCTAGGAAGGTACAGTGGCAAATTTTTGAGGCTGGGCAATCACACTGTACTGACAGTCAGGAGGCAGAGAGAGAAAAAGAAGTTGGGTGGAGTCTCCCAAGAGGTGGGGCATCCACATCCTGAAGGTTCTACAAATACATCACTGCCTGGAGATCAAGTACTCAAACACACCAACTTATGAGGGCCATTCTACACCTGCAACAGTTAGTGCCCCTCAGAGTATACTTTGAGATTCTGCTATTTAGGGTTAGATGTTATTTAAATAGTTACAGGTTTTAGAATTTGGTGGCAAAACTGAGCAGAATGCTCCTAAGTTTCTGACTTTGAAGCTGGTGTGACTAATGATCAGGACAGTGCCTGGAGATATGCTATCCACTGGGAAGGAATAGTAGCCTGTTAGAGGGCTCTCTTGTTGTCCATATATTTTCAAGTCCTGTAAAGAGGTCATATAATAAATCTTAATTCTATAGCAGGAAAATGAGTAATAAAAATGTTTTACCATGGCTGACCTTACCTATTCCACAAGAAGGCTTTCGAAGCCTGTTGTAGTTGACTGGCAAAACCAGCGGGCAAGCTGGCTTTTGAAAATCACTCCTCTGGGTGCTCTTGGTGTCGTAAGATGGTTGGGAGACAGGTTCTGCTGCTCCACTATGTAACCACCATTTTCCCTTCACAGAGAAAAAAATGGAAATGCACTGTCAAATCATGAGGGAAATTTTCATTTGATGCTTAAAGTCTATAACTATTCAGTGACTTGATTTATTAAGGCATTAGCCTAGAATTAAAATATTATTCATGTTTTGTGTGTATGGTTGTGTGTGTGTGCATCTGTATGTGTACATGTGTATACGTGTGGAGAGCATGACATTGGGTGTATTCCTCGGTTACATTTCTGTTTATTGAGACCAGGTCTACCACTGAACCTGGAGCTCACTAATACTGTTATGCTGACTGGCTAGTGAGCTTCAGGAATCTTCTCATTTGTGCCTCCTCCTCCCATCCCTTTCCTGTCCTGGCCTCAGTGCTGGGATTACAGGCATGCCTATCTTGGGGATCTAAGCTTAGGTTCTCATGGTAACAGTTAGCACTTTACTGAGACTGTCCCCAGGAATCTTAAATATAGAAGTAAATGTTTTCACAAGGACACTAGCTTGTAAATGGTGTCTAAAAATAGTCACGTTTTAGCTAAAATATACCCACTCAATTATTAAACTACCTTCTAGTAATAGAGCCATAAGTATTAATATAGTAATTATATTTCTTCTTATATTTATATTATCTTATTTTTAGACTATATACACGTAAGTTAAATATGCTTCAACCTAAAAATTATGTTCTATTCTTTTTATTATAGCAAAACAATGTATTGTCAAAAATGATATTTTGCAGTTATTAGTCCATAACCCACCTGCACATCATGGAATACATTTTAAATCCTACAAGAGCATACCGTATATAAAAGTGAAATACAACTGTCATGAAATTTTTGTTAGATTATTTCAGGACAGTCATTCTATTTTATTGCTTTCTCTTCTATTTCATGTCACAATGAAATAGAGCACAACTCACATTTATTTATAATTTATAAACCTATAAATTTTTGCCTCAAAATAACTGCTCTAAAGGAAACTATCTCCAATGTTCCTGAAATGTCAGTACTAAATACTTTGTAGAAAAGAGAACTGATGGTTTCTTAGCATCTATGACCATTCACCCTTTAGAAATAGAGCAATGAACTGTTAATTAACTCTGATGAAATCACTAAGCCTGTGATTGAGGAGGAGAGACTTTGGAGGCAAGCAACTCCACACCTGGAAGTTTGGGATCTGATTAGTGCTCAACATGCTCTTGGATGTAAGAAGTTAAATGTTGGCTTGGTGAGATGGTTCAGCAGGTGAAACACTTGTCAAAGTGTGGCAGTTTAAGAGTAAAACATCCTGCTCAAGCTCAAGAATTTGAATAGTTGGTCCTCAATTGGTGCTGTTTGGGGATGTGGACTTTCAGAGTTTAAAGCCTCATACTTCTTTCTGTTTGCTCTCTCTGCTTAGTGCTTGCCTTTGAAGATGTGGGCTCTCAGCTTCTTGCTCCTGCTGCCATTCCTGCCACTTGCTGTCCCGATTTCCTACCCACAATAGGCTTTTTGTCTCTCTGGAATCATAAGCCAAAATATGTTCTTTCATAAGTCACTTTTGGTTGTGGTGTTTTGTCATAGCAACAGGAAGCAAGCATCCCTGACAGTGGAGTGATAGAACTGGCTCCTGAAAGCTGTCCTCTCACCTCCACACACACACTGTGGCACACTAACCTGATCACACATACAAATAATACAAATAAATGTCTTCAAAAATCAGCTATGAGTCTTTAATAAAGATGTCTATGATTTAAAATTAAAATGTGATTATAATTAATTTTGACAATCAAGGCTCCAGTGATACAAAGGATGAGGCATTCCTAGGCCCATCCCATGTAGCTGCACAGGAATCCACTCTCAAAAGCTTAGCTTCGAAAAAGACAAGCATGTGTGAAAGAAGTTCGTATTCAGACTAAAGTCTAATGGGGTCAACTTGATGGACACTGTTGAGAACTTTAGAAATAGAATGAAATTGTGAAAATGCAGAAGACAGCAAAACTATCTTCAGGTGAACCATATGGATGGGAGCACTGTTCGAAGCTGAAGTCATAGCTATTAAGTGGTTTGTTTATAGGTGTTCTTACACTGAAAAAGATGGAATGCACATGTACTAGAGGATTAAGCACTGAACAAAACAAGGGAAACAGATCCCAGCTTATTAAATCAACACCAGTTTTAGGCCAACAACTTACAGTTAAGAGTATCCTCAGGAAAATGGGAATTAGTTAACCACAGGACCCAGCAACCCCCCTCTTAGGCATATACCCAAAGGATTCACATCCATGCAACAAAGACATCTGTTTAACTATGTTCATAGCAGCACTATTTGTAATAGCAAGAACCTGGATGCAACCTAGATGCCCCTCAATTGAAGAATGGATAAAGAGATGTGGCACATCTACACAATGGAATACTACTCTGCAGAAAAAAAAAATGGTATCTTGAAATTCGCAGGCAAGTGGATAGCACTTGAAGAAACCATCCTGAATGAGGTAACCCAGTCACAAAAAGAGGAACATAGTATATTCTCACTCATATATGGATTTTAGACCTAGATCAAAGGATCATCAGCCTATAATTCACACCACCAGAGGAACTAAGATACAAGGTGTATTCTAAGAGATTCATATAAAGTCTCTCACAGAAGTGGGAAGGGACAAGTCCCCCAGAGCACAGGGGAAGTGGGGGGGGGCAGTGAATGGAGAGAGAAGTAGGAGAAAGTGAGGGGGAGGAGAGAAAAGCACGTGCAACTAGGAAGATTGAGTCCGGCTAGGAATAGAAGACAGGACACACACACACACACACACACACACACACACACAGAGAGAGAGAGAGAGAGAGAGAGAGAGAGAGAGAGAGAGAGAGAGAGAGAGAGAAGAGAGAATGTAAAAGAGGGTTTGGTTTGAATATTGGTTTGAAGATAAAATTGAACCTAAAGAAAGGTCTAGAGACCTACAAGACTGCCGCCAACTAACAATTTGAGCAACCATGGAAAGGCTACCATAAATGCCCTTTCCGGATAGTGAGATCAACAACTAACTTATCCATGGAGCCCTCAACTAATAGCTGTTGGAAACAGGAGCAAACTCTCATACATAAACACTGAGTCGAACTAGAACCCAGATGCAGATGGAGAGGACAAGACCAGGCAGCAGAAACACATAGAGACAGCTTACCTGAACAAGGAGGAGCTAATGGGCCAGCAGACTGATAGCTGGGAAGCCAGCATGGGAGTGACTCAGGCCCCCCTGAATATGGGTCTCAACTAGAAGGACTGAGCAGTCTAAGGGACCTCAGACAGTGGAGCCAGGATGTATCCCTCGTGCATAAAAGGACCTTGTGGACATAATCCCCCATGGAGGGATAACTGCCTTAACCTAGAGACAGGAGAGAAGCCCTAGTCCCTACTTCACATGACCTGTCAGATCTACATGACCCCAACTGGATGGCATTCCCCTACATATAGAATTGGGGTGGGGGGATGGGAGGGGAGGGTGGTTAGAGTGCATGTGAGAGGGCAGAGAGGGTAAAAAGGAGGGAAGGAGGGAAGGAAGGAGGGAGGGAGAGGGAACTGGGATCGACATGTAAAATAATAAATTAAATAAAAAAAATGCTTTGACTTCAAAATTTAAGTTCAAGGACAAGTTACTGGGGAAAAGGATTTCTATTTTTGTTTCCACAGAAAATGAAAAGATGTGGCTTCCTTCCAGACTAATGTGGTTTGATCAAGCCAGACCGCCTGAAACAGAGTACAAGCTGATCCTACATTCAAAATAGCTGGACAAAGCAGCCTTACAGACTACAGCCAGGATTCCTGCATCTTCTTAGAATCCCTCATGACAGTGCCCCTTACCAGCAGGAAATAGTTTGGAAAGAACGACGCCCAAATTCCCAAATATTGTCTATAAATGTTTGTTTTAATTTTAATGGACTTGGTTATATAAAATAAAAAAAAGAAGAAATGATGAGCAATTATAAACACATTTCACAGAAATTGAGGAACTAGGAAATTCAGGACAACCAAATGAAATTGATTAATGTCTTATATTTTCCGGATTAGCTAAAACATGGAATTCCAAGGTCTTGTGAAAATTCTAGAACAGATTACAAACAAATGGTGTCTTCTCACTATCTTGCACAGCAATTTCCTGTCTAAAACAACAAAACCACAACACCTCCTCCACCTCCTGGTCCACCTCGTCCACCTCCTACTCTACCTCCTCCTTCATCTCTTCCTCCACCTCCTCCACCTCCTCCTATCCTCTCTCACCTCCTCCTCCACCTCCTCCTCCACCTCTTCCTCCACCTCCTTTTCCTCCACCTCCTCCTTTCACCTCCTCCTTCACCTACTCCTCCACCTCCTCCTCCCCTACCTCCTCCTTCACCACCTCATCCTTGTCCATCTCCTCTTCCACTTCCTCCTCCACCTTCTCCTCCTCTACCTCCTCCACCACTACCATCATATTCTGGGGATTCTTAAGGATGTGGATGTATGACAAAACCTTACAGAAGCCATGGAATTTAATTGTAGAGCTCAGTGTTTTTAAAACTGGAAATTTGCCAGGTGTTGGTGGCACACACCTTTAATCACAGCACTAGTGATGCAGAGGCAGGTGGGATCTCTGTGAATTTGAGGCCAGCCTGGTCTACAGAGTGAGTTCTAGGACAGGCTCTAAAGCAATACAGAGAAAACCTGTCTCAAAACACGCGCACGCACACATGCACACAAAACAAAAACAAACAAACAAACCAACCAACCAACCAAACAAACAAACAAAAAACCAACCACCACCACCAAAAAAACAAACAAAACAAAAAATCCCAAACAAAAAAGAAACCTGGAAGCTTTATCATATACACTAGGTAGTCAAGGCCATGAGTTACAGTGTTCTCAAACTGAGATACCAGGGATGTGAAAAAATAGCTCTCCTATAACAGTCGCGTAAATTGTTTTCTGTGGCACACCAGTTCTCTGACATGTTTATTAATAGATGTTATGCAGAGAGTTCCCATAGATAAAGCTATCTGGGAAATGGTGAGCATTTTCAAGCAAATTCAAACATACTTGTCACAGGATTTCTCAGAACTTTTATATACTAGTGTGAACTATGACTCTCTGAACAAAATAAGCCTTTGACTTGATTGTGGAAATGTATTTTTTCAAGCAGATGAACAAGTGCTAGTGTTCTGAGCCTACACTTTGGAGAATAGTCAGTAAGTGTAGTCTGCTTGAAAGTACTGATATTTAGAAATTTATTTAAAAATAGAGTTTTCCTGTTGTTAGACTAGCTGTATTTAAAGAAAAATCAAAACAAACAGCAGCAAACCAGTTTTACTTCTTCTAGCACCCACAATTTTATGTCTTTAGGTAGAAATGTATATCTGATCCTTTCATTAAAAAACCTTATAAACCAATAAAACTAAATGCCAGGTTTGGTAACACACATCTGTAATTCCAGCACTGAGGAGTCTGAGGCAGCAGGCTTTCATGTTCAAGTGCTGGGTTATCTACACAGGCAGACACTACCCTACATAGGGGCCCTACCAAACTAACCAGCCAAACATACAATCAGCTAGTGCTGAGGTCTAAATATACTACCATACCATTAGGCAGCAGCTTGATTATTTTAAAGTCAGCATTATTACATTTTAATTATGCTTTTAAAAGGAAATGTCATCTTGAATAAAAGAATGAAGTTTATATACATGTGAAATAAAAACAAGTATATTTTAGCTTCTTGGAAATTATGGCATTTGCAAGTTTATTGTTGCTTTTGTTTTTGTTTTTGAAATATGGATATCCCCTTCCCTGTGCATGACAATACCTCTTTAACTGTGGTGCATCTCTCATCTGTGCTTTACTCAATTTCAGACTTCCTGTGCTCTGTTCTTACTGGTCTAGAACCAACAAACTTGCCAGCTAGCTTTGCTGATAGCATGTCCTAACATTTGGTGGTTGTTTTTCACAATACCTGTAAACTAGAGTAAATTATTTGGGGTTGATTTTTCAAGCTTCTGCTTTCCTTCTTTCTATTTTCTGACTCAGCTTCATTCTTTTAGTGTCTTAGTGTGTGTTTGTGTGTGTGTGTGTGTGTGTGTGTGTGTGTGTGTGTGTGTAGATCAGTTAGATTCAACTCTGAGCTAGTACTCAGTCACTGTTAACATAGGAACAGTAGATGACATCAGTTACAGGGTCCCCCAGACAATCTCCATTTAAATATGATGTGAAAGCATGACTCTACCTAACGAGAGAGAAGAAAGAAGTGTAGCAGGGTGAGACGTCTGAGACCATTCAGTTGGCACAGTTCTCCTTTCACAAATGACATGGTGAAAACACATACACGAGACACTGCCATCATCAACGCAGCAGCAGATGATGAATAGCATATGTGATTCAATATTGTATTAGGTCTCCTACTAGAGAATTGTGCAGACTCTGCCACTGAAAACAACTGCTTACACCATGCTTCATTTGTGTATATGGTGGCCACTTCCTCACTCAAAACTTTTATAAGACTTTTTCTGATCACCTATTTAAAACCACAACTCTGAGATGGGTGTTGGTGATGCATGCCTTTAATAATTCCAGCACTTGGGAGGCAGAGGCAGGTGGATCTCTGTGTGTTCGAGTACCAGGACAGACTCAAAAACAATACAAACCCTGTCTCAGAAAACCAAAAAAAAAAAAAAAAAAAAAAAAAAAAAAAAAACACAACTCTGGGCCAATAAGACGGCTTAGAAGGTAAATGCACTAAGTCTGATGACCTGAGGATGTTCCCATAGGACTCAATGGAAGAAAAAATAGACTCTTGTAAGAGACACACAGACACACAGACACACACACACAGAGAGAGAGAGAGACAGAGAGAGAGAGAATTAAAAGAAAAACAAAATTACAACTCTACAGCCAGCAGTCCTTCTGTCTTTCATGTCAGCCCATGCCATCCAACATCACAGTTAGTTTATGTAAGTTGCTCATTCCTCCATTAGAATATAAGCAGCCTAAGGTCAGGACATTTCCCCCATTTTTTGGCTCATTGTTGAATCCCTAACATCTAGAAAAGGGCTTGATCAAAGTATTTATTTTAACTCTGTTGTGTAGCAGTTTCCTCAGAGATTAAAACATTGCATTCCTCAGTTAGATAAATAACTCAAAATAGCTTCAGGAAGTCTCTGAAACTGACCAGACTCACTAGGTCCCTCCACACCAGAGGAAGCAATAAAGATAGCCTAGAGTATAGAGTTCCTCTCAGAAGAAGGAAGCTGGAGGGAGGCGGGAGGACACAAATGGACAGTGCTCACACCAGACCAGCTTGCTTGAAAGAAGCAGAAACCAGCCAAGCTGCCTGAAGAGATTAGACCAAAGTCACTTGGAAAGGACACTCTCCAATCTGTTGAGCTGCCTGCAGGCCACATAGTGTGCTCAGGTTTCCCAGCTTTTGTGAGCTTTGAGCCACACTGGGCTGATGAAGCTGACTTTCTCCTCTTGTAAGTAACCCCTCACCCATACTCCTGTAAGTAACCCCAGGTACTCATTGGTTCACTAAGTTGGACTTTGATGTTATCTGCATTTTGGTCTGTCATGGGTTTCTTATTTGGGGTAAGTAGATAATGTGTTAATGTGTTGCATCTCCCTAGGATATGTTTTGTCACACAACAAATATCTCTCTCTCTCTCTCTCTCTCTCTCTCTCTCTCTCTCTCTCTCTCTCTCTCTCTCTCTCACACACACACACACACAAAAAAAAAAAAACAAAAACAAAAACAAAAACAAAAAACAAAAAAAAAAAAAAAAACTTCCCTGAGAGATGATTACTTTCTTTTTCTTTGTTCCATAGATAAGGAAATTGAAGCTTATTTGCACAGAGACAGAAAACACACAGTGGCAGAAGAAGTGAAGAAGTGTGAACCAGTAACCAGTGAGAATGCAGTCTATAGACAAACTGTAACCCCCCCCCCTTTTTTTTTTTAAAGAGAATTTTGTTTTTGTGTGGGTTTTTTGTTTGTTTGTTTTGAGACAGGGTTTCACTGTGTAGTTTTGTAGATCAGGCTGGTTTTGAACTCACAGAAATCTGCTCACCTCTGCCTCCCAAGTGCTGGAATTAAAGGAATGTGCTACCACCTCATGGCTCTGAAAGGATTTTTGAAAAGCCACAAACTGTACAGATTAATTTGTATGGCTCCCCTAGAAATGATAAAATTACAGAAGCAGGTCAGTTCTGTAATTGTCCTCCTGGAGTAGGGAAAGAGGATGTACAGGATGTACATACATAACCTCCGGAAGTTTGCAAAGGCAAGCACTCCACAGATGACCTATGCTGGGTATTTGTTTTACACACTAGCTTGGGTGAAATGTACAGTGTAAATACCATAGCCAGATAAATGTTCCTCTGATCAGTCACATTCGCTCATTTCTTAGTCTGTGAATGTGCGAAGAATTGCTTCAAATTGGAAAGGGGCACTGCAGGCAGCAGTTTTGAGATAAGGGATTACCCTGAAGTATGATGGGCCCACAGTTACTTCACAGATCCTTCTAAGAGGAAGGCAGGATAGCTGTCAGGAAGAACTGCAGGCTTTGAAGAGGAAGGTGTCATGAGCTGAGGTACAAAGGCAGCCTCTCCAAGCTGGGAAAGCAAGGAACAGATCTCCCTCAGCACCCTACAAGGGGCCAGTGAGATGAGAGACTTGGGTTTTCCAAACTTCAGGACTATCTGACTTTAAACCACTACTGAGGCTTGTAATTGATAACAACAGTGATAGGAGATGAATATAACAAACCCAACTTAAAAACAATATATAATACATTTATTGTATATAGAGTGTGCAGGATTTGGCTCAGCCAGTAGTCCTGGGACTGAAAAGAAGACTGTAATAATTGCTCACTTTGTAACTACCCTGGAGTATTATCTGTAAAATAGATCCAATAAAGGCATAGAATAGTAGAGATTAAAGAATATACACAAATTTAGCTTATTCCTAGCAATTTTTTAAAAAAATCTTTTACTTTAAGAGATCATGAAACAAAACAAAACAAACAAACAAACCCATGCAGGTACACATGAAGAAGACATGTGATACTCTCAGAAGATGACTGGTTTGAATTCTTCCCATATACACAAATAGAACTTAGATGCCCCAGTTCCCTGCCAGAAGAGCTCCAAGTTACTGCTTTGACCACTGGTTACAATGGCACTACTTTGAGATGTATCATGTCCTTTAAATAGTCTGTGATCAAATTATCCTGCAAAACAGCTTTTGAGCCTAACTCTGTATTTGTAAATAACAAACATCTGTCCAACCTGCTTTGCCAGCCCTTTATTATCAATGTAGGGAACTGGCTCATTGTATGTTCTTGCATTTGTGTGAATGAATTTAGCATAATTTACACGTCTTCTGTCCACATTCGGTTTTGAGTGTTGTGTGCTTTTTCCAGGATTTTTCTCATGTTTGATTTCTTCTTTCTTTTCAGTTTTGTATGCTATACAAACATCTTCTATTTCATGCTGTCTGAAAAACAGAATTAAGTAGTAAATCATTTATCACAATAAGCATTTCATTGGTTATAATTAAGGGAGATAAGATATAAATATATTTCAAGAGTTAGTGAAGACAATATAGGTTTTGTTAAGGTTTTTTAAAGGGTTATGCTATTAAAGTCTGACATTGGAGTATCTTTTCACTCTAAATCATGTAGGAAAGAAATAATGTAATCTGTGTTAAGTGATTGTTCATCAGGGCACACTAGTATAGTGAACAGACTCTCATTTTCTTGGAGTAAAGATCAGTGACTTGATTGTGCTTATAAATCATGGTTTGCGCTTACATGTGGGTAAGTTACATGTAATTTGAACACATATTTAAACGTTTTATTAGACTGGGGTGACAGCTGAATGGGAAAGAGAAGATAGGAGATTGCCTCACATGTACCTGAGTTCAAATCTCAGCACCCACGTAAAAAGTAGAGTATCAAGTGCCTGCAGCTCTAGGGCTGTGGGAGGATCACTGGGGTTTGCTGGTAGCTAGCCTAGCTCCAGGTTCAGTGAGAGACTTTTCTCTAGGAAATAAGGCAGAGAATGGTAGAACAGGCACCCCAACATACTCCTTTGCTTCCAGTCCCACACTGGCATATTTAATCCACAGGTATATATAACACACACACAAGATAGAGAGATAGATAGGTGATAAATGATAGAGTGATAGATGATAGATTGATAAATATATGATTGATAGATGGTTGAGAGATAAATGATAGATGATTGATAGACATAAGATAGGTAGGTGAATCTAAAAAGTTTCTATGATAAGAGCTTCCTTTCACGGTCTATGCCTAGATAGTTCAAGCATCTGAACAAAGATATTGACTTAATTTTAAAAGTTCACTTGGAAAACATATTACTAAATGTTCACTGTCTATAATTTTGAGAAAATACCACTGTGCAGGTGAAACAATCATTTCAATCCCAGTGTGTTTTGCTTCTAATACTGTTATAAAAATAAAAATCACTAGATGAGGCAGCACATACCTGTTATTCCAGCACACAGAGACAGGTGGATCTCTGTGAGGTCAAGGCTAGTCTGGTCTCACAACAAGATCAGGACAGTTAGAGCTACTATCTCAAATAAATTATTACAAGAAAAACTTTAAAGATATTGTTAAAATATTTCATAGACCATAAGAGGAAAACTCTTTTAATCTGAAGGACCATTAGAGTCTGAATGAAAAATAAGAGGGAGACAAGCTTAAATATTGGCAGCTGCCAGGAGGTAGAAGATGCATAAGAGGAGAAGGAAGTCAAATTTTCTGAGCTAGAGATAAGTCTGCAAGCAGCTGTATTCAGGAACCGTGGGAGCAAGAGAATATCCTAAGAGAAAGAGAATGTCTAGAGTGTAGGACTTTGGCTGGATTCAACCTAGCTGGATTCAACTTCTATCTGAGGATATTATGGCACCCTGTGCTCTGTCCCCAAGGAGTACCTTCACTCTCTTTGTGACTCTGTCCTCTGCCACTCAAAGACCACTTGAAAAATCCAATGAACACTCCATAGATACCTGAAGATCAGCAGCTTGAATCTCTTAAATTGTTTCCATGCTGAGAAGTTGTGCCTATGCCTAATTGAACTCGGGTCATTTCTGACACTCCATTTGTACATTAACACATAGTGTTGTCCCAAGACTGAATATGGAGAAACACTGAGTTGGTGTACAACCTAGCAAATTAGGGTAACAACAAACAGAGATCCAAATACTTACTCAAGAATGACCACATTTCCCTATCAAGAAACACTAAATTCCAGATACCTAGATCCCATTGCAAACTCACAAACAGCATGAATAACCAAGATGAATGTCTTTTCCAGAAATTAGAACCCCCATCAAAATCCCCAAGAAAATCAAGTTAGCTGATGCACAAGGAAATAATTTCAAAATAGCAATTATAAATATGTTCAAGGAACTCAAAGAAGACATGAATAAATGCCTGAATGAAGACCTGGGAAACACAAACAGCTGGAGCAACCATGAAAACAATTCAAAATACAAAAGAGAATTGAGGGTTGGAGAGATGGCTCAGAGGTTAAGGGCACTGGCTGCTCTTCCAGAGGTCATGAGTTCAATTCCCAGTAATCACATGGTGGCTCACAACCATCTGTAATGAGATCTGGTGCCCTCTTCTAGCATTCAGGGACACATGCAGGTAGAACACTGCATATATAGTAAATAAATAAAGCTTAAAAAACTGTTTTAAAAAAAAAAGAGAATTGAATAAGGAGGTAGAATCTCTGAAGAAGAACAAACTGAAATAAAACAAAATGAAAAACTCAGGAAATCAAACAAAAAACTCAAAGGAAAGCCCATGGATCACGTGGGAGAGAGAATACTGCCTTAACCTAGAGACAGGAGAGAAGCCCTAGTCCCTACTTCACATGACCTGTCAGATCTACATGACCCCAACTGGATGGCATTCCCCTACATATGGAATTGGGGTGGGGGGGATGGAAGGAGAGGGTGGTTAGGATGCATGTGAGAGGGCAGAGAGGGTAAAAGGGAGGGAAGGAGGAAGGGAGAGGGAACTGGGATGGACATGTATCTAGTTCTGTTAGGAACTAGCAGCCAGCTGACCCCTGCTTATTCCCTAACCTGCCACGCCCAACCCCCACCTTTTTAATAACAATAAGAGGTGGGAATGTTAGGAACTAGCAGCCAGCTGACCCCCCCCGCCCCCCCAGCCCTGATGATGGGCGCTCATGGCCCTGTCATCGCTACTTCAGCTTTACCTGGGGGCCAGAGGACTCAGTTACTCATGCGCAAGCCTCTTTTAAAGCAAGCGCGCCAAGTGCTTCTCTCTCTCTCTCTCTCTCTCTCCCTCTCTCTCTCCCTCTCTCTCTCTCTCTATCTCTCTCTCTGCCTCTCTCTGCCTCTCTCTGTCTCTCTCTAGTTTCTCTTTCTGTTTCCTCTCTCTGCTCTCTCCTCTCTCTCTCTCTCTCTGGTCATCTCTGTTCTCTCTCTCTCTGCTCTCTCTCTGCCTCTCTCTGCTCTCTCTCTGCCTCTCTCTGCTCTCTCTCTGGTCCCTCTCTGTTCCCTCTCTCTCTCTCTCTCTCCTGCTTTCGGTTGGCCACCAGCTACCCCCTCTTTCTCTCCCCTCTCTCAGTAAATTCCACGTGTGCGCTGAGTCTCGTGTTTGTGTTTCATAGGCATTAGCTGCAGCAAAAGAACAAGTTCTATATTTTTCTTAATTAAAAAGAAAAAAGAAAAAGAAGAAGCACTGCTAACAATTTATTGGTGTGTATGAGAGCTGGTAATGGCAATGACGACATCTCTAAGCCGGCAGCATGCTGCTGCATGGTAGCGCAGACCAAGGCAGTGAACGCAGCTCTCATTGCTGGCGGTAAAGGTACCCACTGCCATCTTGGATAAGCTGCGGCAGAAACAGCTATGACTTTCATTTTAGCAATGTTGTTGTTTAACAGATAAAGACTCGTGGCCAGACAAAGATAAAGATTTACAGTAAAGACAGATTCACATTAAGAAAACCTCCAAAGGTTTAAAATATATATAGGCTTGGGAGAGAAAAAAAGATAAAATGGTTTAAAAAAAATAATAAAAAGACAGAGAACAGCTGGGTGTGGTGGCACTCGCCTTTAATCCCAGCACTCGGGAGACAGAGCTATAGTATAGTAACAAAGACAACATATTACTGTTATAAAAACAGACATGATCAATGGAATAGAATTGAGGACCCTAATAAAAGTCCACACAACAAATCCAATATATGGCCACTTGATTTTTGACAAACTGTTACACACTGAAGAAAAGATAGCATCAAAAGAAAAAAAGTGCTGGTAAAAATTGGATAGTAGCATATAGAAGAAAACTAGATCCTTATCTCTCTGCACAAATCTCAACTCCAAATGAATAAAGAACATTAACATAAGGCCTAACACCCTGAATCTGAAAGTGAGCAATAGGTTTGAACTTACTGGCACAGAAAAGGACTTTTTGAACAGGAGAGGGATAGAAAACAAGACATGAAACAAGTAAGCTTCTATACAGTAAAGGACACCATCATTCAAATAAAGAAGCAGCTTACAGAATCTGACAAAGGATTAGTATCTAGAAGATAAAAACAAACAAAAAAACAAAACAAAAAACCCCAAAGAACCCAAAAGAACTAAACATAAAGAAAATAAACAACCCTGGTTGGGGGGGGGCACGGGACGGGACGCAGGGCATGGAAGTAAGCAGTTCTTCAAAGAGGAAATACAAATAACTGAGAAACATTTCAAAAAATAGTTCAACATCCTTAGATAATTAAAACATCTTTGATATATCATCTTACCCTAGTCTGAATAAAAATAAAATGACAGAAGAGTTAAGATTTAAAGGACTCTATTGTAGATGTGGAGAGAAGGGAGCACTTAACTGCTGGTGGGAACAGGAACTGGTGAAGAGCTTCCTCAAAAGCCGAGAAACAGTCCTACCACATAATGCAGCTCTACCACTCTTGGGCATGTGTCATACTAAGTACTTGCTAGTATCATACAGAACGACCTGCTTACCCATGTTCAGTGCTGTTCTATTCATAATAGCCAGGAAATGGAAGTAGCTTAGATGTCCAACAACTGATAAATGGATAATTAAAATTGTAGTAAATTTACATAGTGGAATATTATTCAACTGTTAAGAAAGCTGAAACATGCAGGTAAGTATATAATAAGAAATTATCACTCTGAGTTGGGTAATTTAAATACAGAAAGAAAAGCAGGGCATATTTTCTCATATACAGATGCTAGCTTTGAATCTTTAGATATGTATAATTTATTTGGAATACCCTTAGAAGTTAAGAAACCAGTAAGGGGTCCATGGGGTAGAGAGAAATGTTTCTTTGGGTGGAAAGGAAAGACAGAATACAATGAAATAAGGGGGGAAAGAATAGTAAATCAGGAAGGATTAAATGACGTGGGGATGAAAGGGTAGAGTAGAGGTGGGTACATGAGGAGAGATAACTAAAGCTAAAGGCTTTTTGGGAAAGCCACATGGGTACCTACCTACTTTTATTAGTTTGCTTTTCTATTGATAAGACATTTTGATTAAAAACATTTTGGAGAGGAAAGAGTTTATTTCAGTTTACACATCACTGGAAGAAGCTAAGGCTTCCATCACTGGAAGAAGCTAAGGCAGGAGCTCGAGCAGGAATCTGGAGGCAGGAACTGAAGCAGAGACTTTGGAGGAACTGTTTACTGGCTTGCTTGTAATAGTGTGCTCAATCTAATTTCTTATACAACCAGGATCACCTGCCCAAAGATGGCACCACTGACAGTGAGCTGGGCCCTCCTATATCAATCATTAATCAAGAAAATACCCAATAGACATACCCACTTTGATGGAGGCCAATTTGATGGAGGCAATTCCTTAGTTAAATTACTCTCTCCCTTAGTGAATTTACTGGTGTCAAGTTGTCAAAATTAACCAGCACACTAAAAAAAACATCCATGGTAGAGCAATACCCCAACTAAATGCCACCCACATAATAGCAAAGAAAACTCCAGTGCCTGTAATGGATTACCTCTTTTTTATTTATTTTTTTAGCCAGTGAGATTGTATTGACCCCCAAATATTTTAGTTCATTGACATGACTATTTTTATCCTCCAGAACTTTATGGTAAGGCCCTATTTTTAAGACACCACATAATTGAGTCACAAAACAGAGGAATTAATTTAGTATTGACTTGGAAGCTTTATCCCTACTGGCTAGTTTTCATAGTGCTGGAAGGTGCTATGTATGCTACAAGAGGAGAAAAGTAACCATCAATATTACACCATTGCTAATCTACGAGCTACAATAATGACTGTCTTGTTAAGATATGCCCACAGGCTCAATGGCATAAATATTATATGAGTGTGAATGCAAATGGCTCCAATAGTCTCATAAGTTTAGTCAACAGTCTGTTAGAACTGTTTGGAAAGGATTAAAGGTGTAGTGTTCTTGGAGAAGTTATGTTATTGGGGACAGTCTTAGAGATTTGAAAAGACGTGTTCCATTCTCAGTATGCTCCTGTTCTGCCTTTTGGGACAAGATATGCATTCACAGCTGTTCCTGCTGCAATGCTTTTGCTCTGCCATCAATGATTATACCCCACTGAAACTGTAAGCCCAATTAAATGCTTTCTTGTATAAATTGCCTTTGTGTTTTGTCATAGCAACATAAAAATAACTAATATAAGTAGTAATTGACCACTTTCTGATTGGATTTAATGCCCACTCCAACCTGTACCAATAGAACCTGTATCTGGCACAATTAATGGAGCCAAGAACATGTGACCTGGGAGAACCTATTATTCTGCTAAATGGAAATAGTTTAAAATTATTCCTAATTAACAGCAATACCCATAGATTTGTGCACTTCTCATCAGAGAAGCTATTTCCTGCGATAGCTGACAATTAAAACAGAGACCCATAATTGTCAACATACAGAGAATAAGAGACTGCCAAATACTTAACACTAAATGGACATCTATACCAGACTCTTCCACTCAAGGCTCAGGGATTTTCACAGGAATGAGGAAAGATTATTATCAGCCAGAAGTGTTAAATGACTACAAGCAGTGTTTCCTGTCCATAACAGAAGAGTTGTACTTACAAACTCACAGTGATTGTAACTGCATGCACAAGACCTGTGCAAACTCAATCCAGGCAAATACCAGCATGGAAGAGGGTAGATGGGCACAAAATCCCACTTCTTGCTAAGGAGCTTTGGTATATTATAGCTGCCAGGATTGAAGAGTCATGTTTTTTGTTTGTTTTTTAATGGTGTGACCAGGCTTCAGGGCAGGCCCCACCCTCCAGAGTATTTGGGTAATATGAATGGGATTCAGTGGGTTAAAAAAAGAAACAGAGTGAGAGAATATGAAGTTGGGTAGGTAGGAAGGTGAGGGTGGGTTTGGCAGTAATTGAGGAGAGTGGATGATCAAAATACATTGTATGGAATTCTCAAAAGAATAAAAACATTATTGCTGTGGGATAATCTTTTTGTACACTGTGAAGATGCGTCTTTACCAAGGCACCTTCTGATGGGTTTAGTAAGAGCTGAATAGGTGAGACTTCCAGGGAGAAAGAGGACCTTGGGATGAATCTAGGTGTGGCAGGAGGTACCAGTGACACATGGAGGGAGTTGGATGCACAGTACTGAAGAGAGCTATGTGGCAGAAGGTAGATGAGTAGAAATAGGTTAATTTAAGTTATAATAGCTAGTTGGGAACAAGCCTAAGCTAAAGGTCAAGCTTTCATAGTTAATAAGAAGTCTCCATGTCATTATTTGGAGGCTGAAATTCCCAAAAGGAAGTCCCAGGAGAAAGACCAACCATGCATTATTAAAACAACAATGACTCCAGCTTTATAGTGGAAAAAATGGGTAGCTATGCTTTGTCTAGTACACAGCTCTTAAAATATAACCCCTACTTCAATTCAAACTAAAGTGAGCATCATTTCTATTGTGTCAGTTTTCAATTAAAACCTGCAAATGGCTTTCCATTGCAGTGGCCAGATTATAGCTAGTGAGGCAGCTAATCTTTTTTTATCTAATCCTAAAGTCTTTGTCCCTGTTTTCTGTTCTCTCTTCTCCTCAGGGCAACCTGCTCCTGTTCTTCCTTATCCAGCACCACTTTCTTAGCTCCTCCTGAGCAGCTAAAAAGTCATATTCCATGATTATGCAAGCTTGTCCGACCTTTCCATAGTACTTACTATAACTCAGATTGCATGCATCTAGTTCTTTGTTTTTAGTAAGAACCAGAAATACCCTTATGAATCAGTAAGTTCCATGCAATGGGGACTATTTCATTGATCACTGCTTGCCTGACACCCAGGCGAGTGTCCTGTCTAGTTAAGGTTTGTGTTGCCCTATTTACATATTTCAGGGGAATGTATTAGAATTGTTTTCCATTCTTTGTTTTAGCTGTACACCTTAACTTTCATTCCACTCCACATAACAATATTCAGATTCTTTGTGATTTTAGCTCCTTGCTTCATAACAAAAATGCCTCTCCACGAAAGATACTGATCACTGGAGAAGTATAAATGACTTCCAAGACATTTCTAGTACATTCCCAGAGATGCATATTTATTTAAAAATTGTGACTTTCCAGTTAGTTAATTTATCACTGTGAACTTCTTGGCATCAGTTTTCTCCATCTGTTCCTCATAGTTGTAACCCACCAACACAGTTGCGCAAGAATTAGATCCTTGAAGGAAAAAGACTATGGGTGTTGACTTACATGTGTATGCATTTACTGAGTTATGTATTTCATGGTGTGAATAGCTACAGATAACAAATAAATGTGAAATACATGATTCAATAGTAACATCTTTGTAAAAGGAAAATACAAATAAAACACTAATATCCTGGGTTCTATACTAGGAATGCAAACAATAGCAAAAGAACAAAAATCTTAATAGACTCTGAAGCAGTTAGGCTTGGATCAGAATTCCAACTCTGCATTTACTATCTAAAGTTTCATCCCTTTATTTATATGAAAGAACAATAGCTGTTGTAAAGTGTGTGAAAAGAAGAACAATGCTAAATCACTCAGAGGGATTGCATGAGGCACTGAGAGGACAGCACAGATGAAATTCATGTTTTCACAGGGCTTATCTTCTAGTGAAGGCAGATGAGAAATATAACAGAGAGAGGCATACACAGTCTGTTAGATGGCAGATGGCGTCACATGTTGAGAACAATACCCAGGAAGGAAACGGCATGCATGTTTGTGGGAGGACAGACTGCATATTTAGGTAGGGTGGGGGCTGTATTGTGAAAGTGGTAATTGAAAAAAGGGAGGGATGGGCACAACTAAGTGGATATTTGAGGAAAGAACATTCCAGCAGAGCCAATCTTAATTGTCAGAACTCTATCAGAAATGTATCCATCCTCAGGATATAGAGTATGGTCTCTGAAGTAACAGCACTGTTATCGGTGGAGACCTTGTCAAACATATGAATCTGTAGGTTTCATTTACCCTAGTAATCTAAGAGGCTTGTTCCTGGGGACTTGTTTCAACTAGTTCTCTAGCTGACCCTCAGTAAGAGCCACTGTTCTAACAACAAAAATACCCCTTTGGAAGTGGGTACCTTTCACACAACATAATTCCTATTGGCTATTCTACCTCCAAAGTACAGATCACCACCTGAAGGCCTTGTTATATAGATCAGATTGTTGGGGTTCCAGTTTCCCATTTGGTGTGTTTGGTGTGAAGAGACCCTGAGAGTTTTCATTTCTACACATTCTTAGCTGATGCTGATGCTTGTCTGGGTATCATCTGAGGATCAGGAGAGATGACCTTCAAGTCAGCTGCATGCTGGAAAAAAGCCCTGCTGGAGGGAGGTGAGGCAAAGAGGAGGCAGTAGCTTTGAAGGTGGCACACAGTGCCACCGTTTTTAAGAGCCACGTTGAGAAAGCTGAAGAGAGACTAGAGAAGCAAAGTGATGCCCATTACCATGAGAAACTGGTACCTGACACTGGGTTAGGATGAGAGAGGAAGTGATGAACAGCAGTAGAGTCTGGATAATTTCAAAACCAAAGTCCACAGAATTTGCTGATGCGTTAAATGTGGGGTATAAGGAGTAATTATTTCAAGATGGCCTCAAGAATCTTAGACCAGGTGATGTGCGTAAAGTCCCTGGTACACAGTAAGTGCTCAGTAAACAGAACATTAAAAACAAACAAGCAAGCAACAACAAAAACAAACATTAAAAAAATACTGTAGTCACTCAACTCCCGGAAAGCAACGTGGGGAACCTATTGAATGAAGTGTGTGGCCTAGATCCTAGGTGCTGAGACACTACTTGGGTCTTGCTTAACATTTTGCAAGAAGGAAAATTGTTTTCAGAAGGGGGAACGGAAAGCTGAACCCTGGCACTTACTGCGGCTTCTCTTCTCCTTCCATGGCCCCCTCTGGCCTGGCACGTGGCAGCCAGGAACTTCAGGAGAGAACACTGCCTAACCCTTGCCTAGAGAGGCTCCAGAGTGTGGCCACTGTGACTCTAGTGTTGCTAAGCGACTGCAGCCTCAGTAAACTGTGCGCAGGCACAGTAAGGGCTCTCTGTTGAGTAGAGCGTGGGCTCTACTTGGGGCGTGGGCTGGCCCCCAAGTCTCTTATTCTTATTCCCTTTCTGAGGTTGAACAGTGAGTTTGAATTTAGCCAATCCTAGAGCCGTGTAGAACCAGCCTAGCGGGGACCAGGCTGGTCTTGAGTGAGCTAGGATGGCTTCCAGGCCATCCCTGCTGCCTGGGAAACCTGCTTCCCATGAGCAATTCTGCGCTATGCAAGTCCATGGGGAAGCTAGGCCAGCACTTTACCATGGTTTCTGACAGAATCTCTGTCGCCAGACCTGTGGCGAGCTTTAAAATAGAACAAAGGACCGCTCCTCTGCAAATGAGGTTCCCTGTGGTGCATGCTTATGCTCTGTCAGAGAGGGGTTTCAGGGTGGGTGCAGGGGACTGCAGGTTTTGAGAGTCTTGATCTTGTGCTTCCCCCAAAGAGCAAGACTGGCCCTGAAATTTACTTCATTTTACCATTGCTTCCCACATTGAGCAAGAAGAAACTCACTGATTTGGGAGCTGGCTGGCCAGAGGGCTCCCAGGATCTGCCAGTCTCCGCCTCCCCCCTCCCCCCTCCCCCCCACACACATTGTCTTACAGGAATGTGCGCCCATGGGTGCTAAGGATTTGAACTTGGGTTCTTTGTTTACACTGAAGCACTCTTGCACACTGAGCCATCTTCCTAAGGCCCACTGTATGAAAAGATTTCTTAATTAAATAAACTATACCTACCACAAGGTAGTCACAATCTTAGGGGTTTAAATTATTCAGATAGGAAAACTTTGACAACAACGCTGAAATGATATATTATATTATATTAATTAATTGACATATATCAGTTTTGATGACAATAAAATACTCCAGTTCTCCTTGGTGTTCTCTCTAGGGTATTGCACACTATGGATTTGATAACAATTACTGACTTTGTATACAGAAAGTACTGAACTGCTCTTAGTGGTTGTTCCTCATAACTATTTGACCTAGTTCTATATGCTGTAGATTCTCAATTATAAAAACAGAGGTAACCAGATTGTCATTCTTACAATCTTTTCTAGATGCAAAATACTGTGATTTTGTTGGAAATTTATATCTTTGAAAATCCATGGCCATTAGCCTAAATGTATCATTTGGTATAGATAATTTTCAACAAAGAATAATCCAAAGTCATCTATTTACAAGTATTGTTGAGTTAAAAATACAGGATCAACAGCATATATGCGGGGTTAAAGGAGGTAGAATTGCTCACCCACAATGTTAGACATACAGAAAATTGTCAATAGTTTTTGAACCATGACAAAGGGCTAAAATTATTGAGTGATGCAATGTCAAATCCTTATATTAAACTGCAGCTGAGGGAGACACATTTCCTTTTCTCCAGCAATATGATGTGTTGTAGTACAGGGCAGGGTGTCAAACACATGACTCAAATGATAGCGCGAATTCTGTTTTCAAAAACTACATTATTTCTCTCTCTCTCCCTCACACACACACACACACACACACACACACACACACACACACACAAACACACACACACACACACACACAGTATAGAACTTGGCAAAGCAAATGGTGACGCTCATTAAAAAGCTAGCTGTCAATAGTCTTCCTATATTTATGATTAGTGAGATGGAAAATTTTAAAAAGTGTGTGCATTACCCCATGTTTATTTTATTAACTATTAACTTGCACTATAAGAATACAAGTTATACTGTGGGATAATCCTTCAGTATGCTGTGAAAATGCATCCCTCTCATTAATAAAGAAGCTGCTTTGCCCTGTAGCAAGGCACAATAAGGCTAGGCAAATAAGCCAAGCTAAAGATAGAGAGGAGAAGGGCAAAGTCAGAGAGAGACCAGCCAGCTGCTGGAGAAGCCAGATGCTAGAGAACAGGTAAATCCCTAAAGCCACGTGGCAAAATATAGATGAAATGTAGAAATGGGTTAATTGAAGTTGTAAGAGCTAGTTAGTAGTGAGTGTGAACTACAGGCCAAAGAATTTGTGATTATTTCAAAGTAGCTATGGGATTGGGAAGGACAGAGAAACCTACACTTACAAAAACAGATTAATTTTAAGGCAATGAGAATAAGAAATGAGAGGGTAGCTTATCTTTGAGAACAGATAGGCTCAAATGAGTATCAGGAAAAGTTTTTCCTCTGGATCAAGTTCAAAACTAAATAATTTCTGTGATGCTAAGACTGGCATTATTATGAAACAAGCAAATATATGATGTTACATTTCTTAAAAGTCAACTTCTTCTACAAAATAGATCATTTCTGGCACAATGTCCTCCATGTAAGCATACAAATGTTTGCATGATAGGTATGTAGCTATATAAACAAAGCCTAAAATATTTTATGAACTCTCAAGAAATGACAACTACAATACATGAGTTATTGTGAAAGTAATTGCTAGAAGCTTCTAGTTTGGAAATTCATTGGAGTGAGGAAATGTAGCACCTGTGCTACGATCTGTTCCACAAATTGGGCGAAGGCCTAGAGATTGAAATAAAGAGACAAGACAGTGGGTCACTTGTTCAATGGCAATGTTGGAATGCCGAATGCTGTATTGAGGGCGAAGGAATGGGCTTAATACTGACTTACAGCACAGTGGAAAATAACAGTATTTTTAGGCTTAGCTCCTCCCCATGAGGTGTGTGTTATCAAAACAGGAAGAGTACTAACAACAGCTTTGGGGCAAGGAATTCTGGCCAACAGCTTCAGGTTTGCTCAAGGTGCCACGGGGGTCCATGCAGGGACCCTATAGGCCCCCCCTTTCTTTTAATATAAACTAACACCTGTCTTAGGTGGCAGAGGATGTCAGCATAATTCCTTACCCATCATTGGAGAGGTCACCCAGGCCTGTAACCCCCCTGTCTTAGGTTGGATATTTGCCCCCTTCTGCCTTACCCATCTCTGGTGAATAATTTGACAGCCACATGTGGGCAGAGGCATTTTCTCTTGAGCCAAAGACAGTAGAATCTTGGTGAAGGCCCATTGAACCTTCTTTTTGGCTGCTACAATCACAGTCCCTCCCCACATAGCGAATCAGATGCTCAGGCACCCAAACAGAGTTATCTCCATCTTATGGAAAGACACAAACTGACCCTCCGGCCCATACTAGAACTGGGTTGGGGCCACACCATTGTCCAGTGGTGACATTCTTCCATGTAACTGAGCCATAGTCAGATGACCGAGGGCGCCAATGCCTGTCAGCTACAGATCGAGCAGCACCATCAATAGTTAAAAGATTTAAAATATAAAGGACAAGAAAAAGGTGATTATGAGGAGACCCTGTAAATTCCCCATTTTGTTTTATGAAGATAGGCTTTAATTGTGCAAAGTGAATGCTCTACCATGGTCTGACCCTGAGGATTGTAAGGGATACCCATCTTATGTAAGATAAATTTTTTTTTTTTTTTGCAAAAAGAGTTGAAACCCTGACAGTATAAGCAGGGCCATTATCAGTTTTTGTCTGGGCATTCTCATATAACCAAAGGCTCGTAAACAATGGCTCTTAACATCCTTAAGCCTTTCTCCAGTATGGGCAGAGGCAAATATGAGATGAGAATGCGTATCCACAGATACATTAACAAATTGTAGTCGACCAAAGGAAGGAACATGGGTAACATCCTTCTGACAGATATCATTAGGTGTGACACCACGGGGGTTAACTCCAAGGTGTGGAACAGGTAAGAACTCTATACATAGGGAACGATTCTTAACTATATTAATATCTTGGTCTCTAGTAATTTAAAATGGAATTTAAGTGACCCTGCATTAAGGTGGAAGGTTGTATGAGCTTTGCAGGCTGCTTCATAACCGGACTCTCTCATCATCATGATGGCACTATCTGTTTTAGAATTAAAATCGGCAATGGCATTTCCTTGACGTAAAAAGGCCGGGAAAATCAGAATGAGCTCAGATATGTCCTACAAAAATTGGATGAGAGTGTAAGAAGTACGGTTTTTCCGCCTGCCGCCTGGTCTTGTCCTGCCACCACGCCGGCCCCAAATAACACACAGAGACTCTGTATTTGATATTATACTGTTGGCCAGTTACTACTTTCTTATCGGCTAGCTCTGTCTTAAGTATTAACCCATTTGTGTTAATCTATGTATTTCCACATGGTCTTCTTACCCGGAGCCGGCTGCCGCGTACTGCTCTCTCCAGACTCTCCATCTTGGCTCCTGCTCCTATTTCCTATTTCCTCCTTGTCTCCTAGTCCTGCCTATCTTGCTTTCCTATTGGCCAACAGTGCTTTATTATTAACCAGTATGAGAAACATATATACATAATGGCATCTCCCATCATGAGAGCACCTCCATAGTAGGCTTTGTATGGCTAGTAAGTGTTCCTGTACACGAGAGACCAGATCTATATAAACAGCAGTTTCTAAGGGGGCCAATATACGATACACATATTTAGTGTCAGTGTATAAGTTAAACGGCTCATCAGAAAAATGTTGAAGGGCTAATTTGTACTGCAGTAAGTTCAGCAACTTGTGCATATTTCACTTTAAGTGTAGAGCATTTAATAATGGGAAAGGAAACAACTAGTACACAACCATTTGAGGAGCAGTCTGTAAATACATTGTGGGCCCCCTTCAAAGGATTTTGGGAAATAATCTTGGAGAAACACACAGGGTGATTAAAAAAAAAGAGCTAATTTATTGGAAGGAAAATTACTATCAAAGTGACAGGGTGTGAAACACAAGAAATGTGCCCAATCCTCATCAAACTGTTGAAAACATTGCATCTGTTGTTGAGTATAGGGAGTAACAATTACATCTGGGATCTTGCCAAAACTTGAAGACTTATTTTGTATTTTGTATGCCTTTTGAATA